CCATCCTGTAATCTACCCGCCCCCCACCACCCAGTCATCTCCAGTTCCTCCTACACAGATCTCTCCTGCCTGCCTCCTTGTGTTTGTACTATATACTTTGCCTAGGTCACTTCTGTTCAGTCTTCCAGGGCCAGCTGCCCCTCCATTAACCTCAACGAGGAGAAATCAGAGCCCGCTGCTTCTGTACCTATGTGTCCCTCTACAAGCCCATCTGAGGCCTGGTTTCTTGCACAACTGAGACTCCCTTGAAGCATAATGTTTTTAGCTCCCATGCCTAGAACAGTGCCTGGCCTTTCTGACTGAATGAATGAGCGAGTTACTAGTTTTAGTCCCACATCATATTTGATATACTCCAGGTGATGCAGTGAACTCAGGGGTCTCTGGGTTGATCAGAAGTCCAAGTCTGATCTCTTTGGAGGACACACCATGGCTGATCCTGAGAAAGAAGTCTTGGGTTATAAAGATAGAGCTGTTACATTTGGCCTCTCCTGCAGCAGAACTTGGTGGTTCCAATGACCTTTTAATTCCCAGCCATTTTAATACAAGTAGCATGCACAAGAAGGTTGTCCACATTTGTCACACCAGATGAGCCAAGTAAATATTGGAGACCACTGTCGGTTGACTGCAGACTTAAGAGACAGTTTCTTTTACCTGCAGCACCTGCTTTTACCTGACACATTTAACTTTGTTCCCTAAGGGTAATCAAGGTGGTGGGCACTTTGAAGGGAGAAGAGAAAAAGGAAAAAATACCAACCCCACTTTGTTCCACCCTGAAGATACATTATCACCTCGGAGTGGGAACCCAAAATCACTGGGTCCTGAGTCCTGTGCTAACTGTAGAGTTCTTCTCCATCTGACTGCTCACTCTGACATTCTCGTGGACTCACAGCCTTGCCAGGTTCATGAACTTTGCTCAGTGTCCAATAAGCGCAATAATGAAATGGCAATTTGACTCTAGCAACCCTGAGGAATTTTAATTATTCTTCGGCCTGCTTTCTAATGATTGCATATTGGCCACTCTTGGATTTTATTTCTTCCACCTCTGGTTAAAGAGTGTAACTGTAGACTCCTGTCCTGTGTGACTCTAGCCTTAGGAATGACCATGCACATCCTGACCTCACCCCCTCTTCCTCTGCCTTTGAACTCCCAGCTTTCTTCTCAGAGCCTCCTTCATCATTTCTACCCTTGTTCTCTGACATCTAGGCTAGTGAGACCTTAAGAGTCTCAAGGTCAGAAAAACTTATCTTTATTCTCCTTTATGCTTCCAGCCTCTAAAATATATGGAGTAATAGTGAATAGGTATTTGTTCAATTGAGTGAAACTTGTCAACAGCCAGAGACTGGCACTTTTGGTCCCATTCTCCTCTACATCTGAGGTACCAGTTAACTTTACCTGAGAGCCCTGTCTTTACTCTGAGCATTCTGTCTTTCCCGGAACTCAGAGTGAGCCTGGCTCTGGATGACTTAGACCATAATTTTTACTGCCCTATTAGCTAGAAAGGACTTTTTTGAGGATGGTCTAAGAGCCTAATTATTGCTTAAAATAACAAGATCTAACATTTAATGAAAACTATGTGCCAGGCCCTGTGTTAAAGAAAATAGTCTCAGTTAATCGTAACACCAACCCTAAGGGATGGGTAATGTTACCTGCTCTTTACAGATGAGTAGACTGAAGCTTGGAGAGGTTAAATAATTTAAGATCACAGTGCTAATAGCATGTTTTGTCAGTGGTAATATATACCTTTTGTTCATATTTCATGACCTGTGCAAAGGACGTATATCTTAAGGTCAGTGGGGGTTCCACCCGCTGTTAGCCTGGAGACAGCAGTTTTGAGTGGATGGCACTGTCTTTGCCTGTGTGAACCTGCACACAGCTGCTCCTCACATCATGCACAGATGTCATCCTGTCACTCACTTCCTTTATGTGCCTTCTTGGTACTCTGTATCTTGAGGTTAGTTGCAAATGGGCTGGTTTTGAGAAGAGTAAACATTTGAGCCAAGCCTGCTTGTTTTTTTTTCCTCCGTAACTCTTATAAATTACACTCTCAGCACAAAAGAGAAGCCACTGTGAAAATCAGACAAGCCTCTTGATAGATTAGGGGAGTGTTGTTTGACATTAGTGAAGCAAATATTGATCACTGGAGGAAGAACTTCAATTCCATATTTTCTCACATGGCAACTATCAATTACTTAGAAAAAAAGATATACACGAAAAGATGAGGATGCGGTTGTGTTTTGTTATTGAGATATGTGCAGAGCAGAGGGATTACCTGTCACATGTGAAGTAATGCAACCAATGGCAAGATATTGCCACCTCTTTTTGCATAGGTAAAAGAAGTGTCAAAGCAACCAGAGGCTGCTGTGCATGATGCATGGGTATCTCAAGGTTATTGTTAAGGCATTGTGTCATCGTTTAAATGCAAGTGTTTTTACCAATAGTAATAAAATAACGATATATTTTAACAATCATTGAAGTCTTGGATTGGGTGAAATCCTTTAAGTGACAGATCCAGTTTCAAACTCAAGCAGCCTCGATCTGGAGATTGCACCCATATCCACTATCCCCCAGGCTTTTTATCTCTACAGGAAAACACTTGCAGGGTGTAAAAGGGTTTACAAATCAACTTTTAGAACATAGCTTGGTTGATATGCTTCATTTCATATTTAAAGTAGAATCTTCCCCAACTCTCAATGCCTCATGACTTGAATTAAAATCTATTTTAAGTTAGCTACCTCATAATTAATCACCAGATAGCAAGTTGTACTATGTTTTATTCCTTGATTGCCTAACAGGGAATTGAGGAAATGCTTCCTATCATCAAGATAATTATAACTGTTGGGATTGGCGGAGATACAGTGACTAGAACCCTTCTCTCTAAACTAGTTTAAAGCTAACTGAGAGATCAACACAGGTGTCAGGCAAATAGGGATTAAAACATTAGAAATCATGATAAATATTTGGTCAGAAGGCACAGTATAGACAAATGTCCGTGGCAGGATTGCTAATAGTTCGTCCCTGGATTTCCACCTGGCACAGGACCACAGCCCAACAGCTGAAGGGGAAGGGTCCTTAGTACATGGCAGGGAGCTAATCAGAATGCGTGTATTTGGAAAACAGGTTGGTTTTTGAAAAGGGAAAGAAAAAAGTGAGTCAAACACAACTGTTTCCCTCTCTATCACATACACTACTTCACTTGGGGAGGGGTGAATGAGGAATAGGGAGAGACCACCCAGGAAATCACTCTAGTGGGAGTGTCTTCCTTTGGGTGGAAGTATGAGGCTGTGGGGTAGAAGGTCCTCCCTTCACAGTCATAAGCATTAATAGCGATACCACTAGGCATAGATTTCCTAGTTGTAGCATTTCATTCTAGCTCAGGTCTGAATCACCTGGTTTGGCTAAACATGGTTGGTTGATGGTGAGGTTGCATTTAATTTGAACATGACACCATCATGCTGTTTTAGTCTCTTTTTACAATTATCATTTGGTTGAGTCATACCCATAGTGTCTTTGCTTCATTGCCCTTCACTTCATTTAAGATCTGCAAGAACAGTCCGAGGCTGTTGTTCCTCCAGGGTAGCATTTTACTTACAAGAGGATCCTGAGACTTTTCTTCTCAGTGCTTTTGATAAGACTTTCAAAAGACCTTAAAAGTCAACACCCTAGTCAACCCTCTGAATTTTGGCAAATATCTGCATGTTATCAACCTGTTGCCGAAAATCTACTGAGTTTCCACAGTACATTTTCATCGTGTTGATGTAAGTCGCTGTATTCTAGATCTAACTTTTCATTTTCAAAAGATCTGTGATAAACCATGGTTTCTTTATGAAATTATTCAGGCATTGATTTAAAAACATATAATTGCTTTCTCATAGGTAGCATTTTAATGGGTACATTTTATCTGTTTTACATGTATTTTAATTTTATTTTAATAAATACATGTGTCTAACATATGTCTAACTAGTACATATGTCTACCTAGTGTATTCTTTACTATCAGGGTGATGAAAACATGGTAGGTCCAAAATAAAGACCTGTTGATGTGTTAATTGCTTCAATAGTGAATCTCAAAGGAAACAGTGGCCTTTCAGTTTGTAACTTCATTTGTTCTCATTGCTTTATTCTGGACACTAGGCTGGTGAGAGTTCACTACTGTTTGTAGGATAAACTACTGATACTGAAGATGAACCTAAACCTAGAATTCCTTTACCCATGGAAAATAAAATATGTGCAACCATCTTGTAATCACTCTTAATTTCAGACTCTATATAATATGTTTAGTCATCAACTTTGTAGGGATGAGAATGGGCCAGACTTGGAAGATAACTGGGGGGAAATGTCATTCCCTGCCCTCATTGTAGGGCAGATAAATGGCCTGCACCCATTGAGAGAGCATCCATTTGGAGATGGAAAACCAGAAGATGCACGACCTGGTGTGAGCAGTTGGGAGTGAGACGAGGGAGCAGATCATAATGTGGGGGGTCTTTGGAGCTGTTCTGTGGGCTTTTCTCCATCCCATCAAAATTCCCTTTTTACTGAGGCTGTTCTTGCTCTTTCCCTTCTTCACCTAAATGTGTCACTGCACATTTCACCCTTCCTCATAACCCCTCTCCTACTTTTCCCTTCAGTCCTATCTCCTCTTTGGTGGCTCTATAACATGCCCAAGAACATTTTCATTCTCTCCTCTACATCCCTTGTGACATTTATTTGCACTGCACAACCACTCATTTAGATGCATGACCATTTGCTGTTTCATAGATGTGTGAATTGGAGTTCAGTCTTTACCAGGAACTAGCCAAGCAACCTCACGCCAGATCCATGTTTGTTATCACAATGGACCTCCATTCTCTCACCTGGGAAATAATCTCCCAGGATACTTCCCACTTTGGACTGTATTTAGGAAAGTGGAGCAGTGATAAAGCCTGTGGGGTGGGGGTGGATGTGCATTTCCCACTTGCAGTGCTATTACCCACCTTTCTGCTGACCTCCACTGTTCTTTTTCAGGGCTGGGAGAGGGTTCAGCTCTCCTTCATCCGGATAGCAGATCACATCCTAGGTCCGTAGAGAAAAGTGCCTGGAGGGCATTCAAGGAATCACAGTGCCATCACATGCTCAAACATCTCCACAATGGTGCAAGGATCACTGTCCAGATGCCACCAGCGATCGAGGGCCACTGGGTGTCCACTGGGTAAGAGGGGTGTAGGATGGACCAGGGAGCACCCTTCTGTGGAAGGTCCTTCTTAGGATTTCTGAGGTGCATGTAGACCTTTTATAATATACAATGGCTTAAGTGTTGTCTAAATTCTAAGAGCCAAACAGCGCTTTGAAATTCTGGTTGGTAAAGAAACAGAGCTAAGTACTGTAGAAATCTTAGCTAAAGCAGAGATGATATTGTACCACTGTTAACCACAGGGTGTGAGTGAATAGGTCCTTGTTTACCGAACTCTGTGGGACCACTGCTGTATAAAAAGAAACCATTAGCAAGTGAAATTAGGAGTCTGTGTTTCCCCAACCCTGAAACATGATTTGCAAGTTTCTGATCATCTAAATATTTCAGCCATATTCTGGTAATTTAATATATGGCTTCAGGGTTCTAAGAGTAAGTTAAAAGGTTCTCAAGCTACCTTACTAGCCAGACTGTAGTTCTTGGATTCTTTTCCAGGCTGAGGAGCTGAGATTTATCCCAATTTGAGCTCTGGCTTATCTTCCATTAGAGCTTTTAAAAATAGCCTAGAGGCAACCCTGCAGTTTTCTCCTATCCATTAAGTTGTTGAGAATTAACAAGGCTAACTCTGGGATCTAATCACTTCTCTCTTGCAGCTTCTGGGTACTTTGAGGAGGGATTAAATAAATATAGAGCAGAAGAAAAAGGAATTTTTTATAAAATGATGAAGACCCAGGGGTTTCTTTTCCATAAAAGTGGGATTTCTCAAAATAAATACTTCATAAGTACTTACGCAAACAATCTTAATGTGATGTACGTTTAATTTATTACGCTAACAAATATTTATGGAGTATACAAATATTAACGGTGTGCTAAGCATTATTCTAGATTTTGTGTTTATAACAGTGAACAAAACCAACATAGTCCCTGTCTTCAGGAACTTTACAAATAAGCACACAAAGAAGTACTATAATGGAAAAAACAGGTGCTAAAAGAGAATACCAGGGGCCCTCTTTTGGGAGGGGTGCGGTCAGGAAAGGCTAGCAAAGAAGAGGACACTTGAGCTGAAATGTGGTTGGCTGTGCAAAGACCGAAGGAAGAGCTTTCCATCCATCTGGAAGAAATAGTAAAGCCTGGAGTGGAGAAACCAATATCTCCGAGCCCTTGAGGCTGGGGTGTAGTACACCATGGAGAAGGGCTCCAAACAGGGCTGCTTAGGAGAGCAGAGTCAGCTCCCAGGGCACCTTGCAAGCCAGGTCTCCTGTCTGAGTTTAGCTTTTAATCTAAGAGAACTGAGAAGTCATTGTAGAGTTTTCAACAAGAGCCATGCTTAAGACATGATTCAGCTCTGACACTCTGGCAGCTGTGCGGCAAGTGGATGGTAGAAAAAGTGATGTGGGGATGATCAATTAAAAGACTTGAAACAGTTCCCGCTAGAGATGAAGGAGCCTTAGGTAGGGATGGTGGCTGGGCTGATGGAGAAGTGAATGGACTTGACATATGCTGAGCTCTGGAGTCCAAATCAGCAGATCATCGGTGCTTAGATAAAATATTAAAAATAAATTACAATAAATAAGTAAATAAATGCGATCTTCTTAGCTAAACCTCAAGGGACATTAATCACTGCTCACATTAAACTTCTCTTTCCATGGGGGAGAAATCTTGGGTCTTCTCTTATTCCTTTTTGCAGATGGTGGGTACTTAAGAGCACTGCTGAGTGCTTTACGTCCATATGGTGTTATTTGACATCAGTTGACAATCTTGACCTAGCAAAAGGTACCCACTTCAAAATAGTGTTTATCTTTACTAGTTTTACTAAAAAGTGGAAATGTGAGCAGTTTTGAGAACCACTGCCCTTTGGGATTTCAAGAACCACTGTTGGATTTAGCAATGCTGAGTTAGCTCAAACCAGAATTATTTTATATAATATAAATATATAATGTATGATACATATATTATAGATATGAGCAGAGTTATAAGGCCAAAATTAATGAGATGAAAGTCATGTGACTGAGGCTAGGATCTAGCAAAAGGTATAGACAAATTCTTTGCCTAACACATTGAAGGAAACCTCCATTATTAGCCTTGTCTGGGTTGTGCTGCATGTCTATGAATTGATTACAATTAGAGAAGTGAATGGAACATGCCTCAGTTAAAACCTATGGAGCCATTTGTGCTTTGTTGACCCAGTCCAAGTATTTCTGGCCTAGGAATCTAGAATTTATCTAATGCTACAGCCAAAAGCATTTTGTTGTCAATAGTGCAAAACAAAAGGAACCCTTATTGCTGTTGTTATATTAGTTTAATTTTACCAATTTTCTTTTTATTTTTCTAGAGGGAAAATTGATTTTGACTAGATGGGAAGGTGAATTTCTGACCTTAGGTGATGCCTTCCCAAGACTAGATTCCATTTCAAGATGATGGACACCTAGCACCTGCCTGCTTTAGAAAAGGTCCATAAAACAGAATTTGTAAGGAAATTTCTGAACTTGCTTAAGGGAACTTCTTTTATAGGCCAGAAATACTCTTTTTTCCTTTTTCTACCAAAAAGGAAGAAATTTCTAAGTTAGGCTCATGGGTGGAATTGTGGATGGCAGGTTTTGCTCTCCTTGTTTGTTTATAAAGTGAATGAATGGCTTTCTGGTATAGAGTGATTAGGCTCTTAGGCACTGGGGCTGGACTGCTTTGATTCACTATCTGGCTCTGATGCTGGCTGGTTATATGACCTTGGCCATGTTTCTTAATCTCTTGTGCCTCTGTTTCTCTATCTGTAAAATAATGGACAATAATAATACCTACCTAACTCATAGGCTATTGTGAGGATTCAGTGAACTAGTAGCTATACAGGACTTAGAATAATGTAAGCGTATTATTATTATTACTGTAATTTCTTAACACTGTGATGAATCTCTTCCGCATGCCTCTGGGCTTAAAAAAGTCTTTCTTTCCCTTTTCTTCAGCTGTGAAGTGAGGTCAGGCCCAGAGTTCATCACAAGGTCTTACAGATTCTACCACAATAACACCTTCAAGGCCTACCAGTTCTATTATAGTGGCAACCGCTGTACAAGCCCCACCTACACCCTCATCATCAGGGGCAAGATCCGCCTGCGCCAGGCCTCCTGGATCATCCGTGGGGGCACGGAAGCCGACTACCAGCTGCACAGTGTGCAGGTCATCTGCCACACGGAGGCAGTTGCTGAGAGACTCAGCCAGCTGGTGAACCACACATGCCCTGGCTTCGTCCCTGCTGGAGGTGCCTGGGTGCAGGACGTGCCCTATGACCTATTGCAGGAGGAGGATGGCTGTGAGTGCACCAGAGCTGTGAATTTCGCCATGCACGAGCTGCAGCTCCTCCGGGTGGAGAAGCAGTACCTGCAGCACCACCTGGACCGCCTGGTCGAGGAGCTCTTCCTTGGCGACATCCACACTGATGCCTCCCAGAGGACATTCTACCGGCCGTCCAGTTACCAGCCCCCCCTGCAGAATGCGAAGGTACCCTGACTGCCCTCAGGGCCTTGCAGCCTCCACTTTCTGAAGTAAAATGAGGGACCTAAGTCGTGTTGCGTCAATAGGGTCAAAGGAACCCCATGACAGAGAAGAGCTGAGACATGAGGGAGGGACTGCTGGGAGGTGAGGGGATTCTCAGAGGACTTCTGGGGGAGGGACATATAGCCACATTCAGGAGACCTAGGTCAGCTACCAGCTTGCTCTGTGATTTGGTGCCTTGATTTTCCTATTTGATGTGGGTGGGTGGTTGGGGGTTGGAGTTGGTGGTATGGTAGGGTCTTGGATGGTTGTCCTAGAAAATTCCTGAGGCTTCTTTCAATTCTAACACTCTAGGAACCTTGTTCGTGATTCTAAGAGGAAAGCATGAATGAAATACAGAGATGTTCTAACCACACGTGGGAAAGACAGGTGGCTCCAGGGGAACCACGACAGTGCTGCTTGCATGCGGCTGTAGACCCTGTGAAGGTCTCCCACCCACATTACTGCTTTCAGACTTCAGAAACAACCCTCTGAAGCAGATACACTACCCTCATAGGCAGGAGAGGCAGCTAAGGTTCAAGGGGCTCCTGGGTGATCACAGTCACCCAGTTAGTTTCAGTGGAACTTGAGCTCTGAGTTAAATGTAAAGTCACTGTGATCAGAGGGGAGGATGGAGAGGAGCAGGAAACAATTAAAATCTTACAGTGTTATTTTCTTGAATGATAGTCCAGTAATTATATTTAGAATTCACAAAGCATTTCTTTCCCACGGTCTCAGAATTCATGTCAGCAGGTAATGCGATCATTTTCACTCCAGAAGTTAGGGAACCTCAAGGCAGGGAGGGCATGCTGGGCTCTGATCACGGTGGGCAAGGGTGGCAGACAGTTTTCTCTAGAACAGCAGCCCTTATTGCAGGACCCTGTTTGATTTTTGTTTGGTAGTTTATTCATTTTTTTTAAAAAGTTTTTTTCTTCCTTCTCCTTTGAGCTCATTCATGACTAATGGAGAGATCACAGAATACTTCCCCTGCCAAAGACCACTCAGTGTTACCGTTTTAGCAGTGTTGTTGTGAGCTGATGCAGTGACAGTTACTGTTGTTATAATGGTGGGAAATCTGCTGAGGAAACCCACTTGGAGGAGGCTGCTTCCTCTAGATGCAGCTGGTCAGGGGCAGTCTCCTGTGTGAGGTGAGGCCAACTGAGGGCTGAGGTCTTCAGACTCAGAGCTCCCTGGGCTCTCCACATTCAGGTAGTTCAGATGCCACTGGGGGTATTCCAGTGGAGAACAGAAGCAGGGTCCACTATGTTGTGCCTCAGAAGTGCCAGAGGCACCGAGAAGGAAAAGGTGAGTTAGGGCCGTAAGCAAGAGAGCCTTGTTCATGCCCGCTTCCAGACGTCCTCTTGGAATGGGGAGTGGGAGGTGGTGGGTGGTATGGCTAAGCTATGACACATTGATACAAAAGCATTGGTGTGGAAGAGGGAGAACCTTCCACAGGGTGGCATCTGGGTGAGTGCCTGGTTTTGGGGAAAACAGGAGTAATGAACTTCCAGTTCCATCACAGGACCTTTCTAATTGGCAGCATTATCCAGAGTCTGTGTTGAATGTTGCAGCTAAGTAACACTTTTGTTGAAATCTTTGGTGTGTGATAGTGATAGCGGAGGAAAGGAGATTTTCATATGTACATTTGCCTTCCTCTGAGTACAACCAGCCAACGTTTACATGATCCCTGGTGACGGGAGCTAAGAATGTCATGAACAAAAATGGTCCACAGATAATTCAGAAAACTCAAGCGAGCCAGAAACACCAGCGCCTGTCTCACCCCAAACCTCTGTGAAGATCAATTAAGCCAGCACAGTCCTTTTTATCCCTATTCACCCTTCCAGGGAGACACTAATGAGCAGCAAAATAGCCAAAGCTCAGGGGCAGTGAGGCAAAGGGCTGAGGAAAGGGGAAAGAGAAAGGAGGCTGCGTTGCTCTAGGAGGAGTCACGGTGCAGCCCCAGGGCTGCCTGGGCTGGAGTCGGAACCCCTTTTTTCCAGCTCTGTACTTGACCTTGGGCTGGTCATTTGCAAGCACTCCGGTCCAGATTCCGTTTCCTCATCTGCAGATGCCTATGTAGGCTCTTGGATCTCAAGTGCTTTTTAGGGCTTTAAGAAAAGGTATTTATATGACCATTTTGTTTTCTCACACCTCTCTCTTCTCCCTTAAATTCTCTGTTGCACTTCTGGTGGCACGGCTCATCAGAGAGGCTAAAAGTTAATATCAGTATTCCTAAGACTTGCAGCTGCAGATGATGCTCTCTCACTCCCTCCTCTGGGTCTGAAGGAGTGAGTACTCCTGGTCAGCATCCCCCACTAAATAGAGCCTAGTTTTTGGGAGAGCAAAGTCATACAGTTGTGGCTCTGGGGGAAAAAAAAGGTCTTGAAAGTGAGTTACTAACATTAGCATAGAGAATTAAGGATGAGAGTTGTAAGGCTGACCTTCTTAGAATTTTTATAAACAAAAAATGGTTGAAGAGTGTTTTGACTTTTTTAAACATCGTCTGGATAACTTGGCGAGAATATGGACTTGGAGATAGTAGCCAACCCTGGAACCCAATTCTCTTGTTGTCAGCTGTGGGGCATAGAAGTATTACCTGACCTGACTTTGGGAGTCTTAATTTTTCTTTTTTATAAAATGGTAAAAATAGAAGATTTGAGTGGGTTAATGTGCAGAATGCTGTCTGCATCTGGAAAGGGCCCCTACCGAAGCTCTCTTCTCCGCTGGCCTGGAGTGAGTAACTGTTCAGAGCATGTGGCTCCTAGAGGAATGAGAGCGACAGCTGACTAGGGGCATCAAAGTATTTTCCGGTGCCAGGCTAGAAAACCTTTCCTCCTGTTTTCTTCTCCCTCCTCTGATAAGGCAGTTGTGGGAGCATTTACCCAGGTTCTTAAGAAGTACTCTAAACCCTAGGTCTCATTCCCTCATTCAAGAAATATTAAGGGGTGGAAGGAGCCTTGGGTCTTAGATATTATCCAAGATATACTGTTAAGCAAAAAAAGGACAGTACAGAATAGTATGAAAAGTATGATACCATTGTGTAAACGAATCATAGAAGAAGAAAAGCTTACAAAGGTTGATAGGAAGTGTAAAATTGCTTCTGAGGATGGAGACTTGAGTAACTGGGAGACAGACAGAACTTGTCATAAACTTTTTTGTACCTTTTGACATTTGTGCCATGATCTTAAATTACCTAAATACAGTCACCACCAAAATTAAAATACCTGTTTAAAAGTAAGGACTCCAGGGCTCAGAGTGCTGTGGCCACAGATGAGGGTGGCGGCAGGGCTGGGAGGAGGAGGATGCAGGCGGGCGCCCAGGGCCCAGTGTGCGCTCTCTGCTGCCCAGGGTGCGAGTGGGGGGGGGGGGGGGAAGAGGGCTCCTTCGAAGACCAGGCCCCAAGGTCTGCACAGCTGTGGGAGCTGAAAGGGCTCGTTCTTCTCTTGTTGTCCCTGGCATTGTACGTCTTGGCCTGCAGTGTGCAGCAGAGTCTTCAGGAAGTTTTTAGATCCTTCCGCAGGACAGCTATGAGAAGGAATAAATGGACTTGGCCCTTGGTGCCTTTCCAGACACCAAAAGCAAAGCCCCAGGTGCTCCCCGCCTGCAGGAAGGAGGGGGGCTGGGAGTGCATCCGGGAAGACCGCATGCCCCCACCCCTTTGAACTGCTTGCCTTCCCTAATTGCTGGTCCATAGAGACCTGGCTGAAAATTAGTTTAAATGCTAAATTGAGTTTGAAACCGCTAGTCTCAACCCCTCTGGAAGTGGGACACCATGTAAAAATAGAATCGTTAAATCATCTTGTTTTTCTTAAGTTTTATACAGCTTTGCTGTGAGGTTCAGAGTCCTTTGGCAAATAAATTATGTTTGAAGAAAATCAGGTGTGCTGGGAGGACTCGCTCAGGATGAAATTGGCTATTCTTCATTAAAAAAAAAAAAAAAAATCAAGGCCACCTAAAATAACCCTGAGAAAAGATGTTTTGCCTGAGTTGAGTTTAATATTGGGGCAGCTGTTACCCTTTACTTAGAGTCTTGTGCAGTTGAAGGGTTAGCAAGGTATATTTCTTCCCCTGGTAGAAACAAAGTATAATTAAAAGCAAATGATTGCTGTGGTGGCTGGCAATGCCAAAGCCTCAGTATCAGACTTGTTAGCAAATGGAATTGGTCTTTCCCCAAAATGCTGCCCTGATTTAGCCACAAAGTTGTAAATCAAAGGGTTTGTCAGAAAACCGGACAACTTTCCCCCAGCAATGTATCCTAAACATTCTGCCCCAGCACACATACAGCAGGGGCGCTGCGCACTGGAGGGAGAAAAGCACCAAATGTTTTTAAAAGTAGCTTGGCACCGTAAATGAAGAAGGAATTACTTGTGCACTTTCATGAATTTTGTAAAAACCTGTAGAGTCTAGACTGAATGAACAGGCATTTGTTTCTGAGGAATCTTGCCTTTCCAAGTCTTTTCAGAGTGAAAAATACAGATTAACTGAGATTTTTCTGATATCTAGGACATCAGAGGAACTTTGAACCAGGAGGCCATGGGCGGTGGACTTTTCAGCCCAGCTCTGGGAGGCAGACCTGCAGCAAAGAGGGGTCTCTTCCTAGGAGTGCCCTTGGTGTGGCTCCCCGGTGGGAGGGTGAGCAGGTGTCGCAGGAGCAAGCACAGAAGGAGCCAGGTGCTCATAGAAGAATTCCTGTCCCTTCTCTTCCTGCCAGTGTAGGGAAAGGAGTGGGCTTTGCTGAGGTTATGGGGGATAGAAGAGGTGGTCAAGGACCAGGAGGTGTAGGGAGTCATGACCTAAAACAGTTTCAGGTGCCCCTCTTATGTTAAGGTTAATTCCTACAGAAAATGGTGATCCTGTTCACTGGGGCTGGGTGTTTTAACTGTTGCATGTTATCTGAAATTGAGGTTGAATGATGGGATTTTGACCCCGAAAGGCTTGCACATGAAGTGTCACATGATTGTTGCACT